GCATCCCATGGAAAATCTTCCATGATGACATCTCTTCCCTAAACCAGGTAGTTGTAGTGTTCTTTGTCATTTCTAAATAATCCAATCCCCCCCTTTTTTTAATTTGCAGTTGCCATTTATAATAAAAAGAAAAGACCTGCCTTTTACTACATCAGATATCACATGTTCAAGATATTACACGCTACATCATCACATTTCAAGAACAATAATATGAAGGAAGTTAAAACATCACAAGTTTACAGATTTTTCTGCTTAGATTCAACACTTTATTAAGCTTGAGATGTCTGCCTAACAATAATGTTTTTACTTAAAACAAAAAAGACATCAACAGGGACATGACATGAAACCCCTGTGTATGTTGTGTCTAATTAGTTCCCCTCTCCATTTTGAAAACCATGGCTAAAGTTGAAAACTTCGAATTGTTTTGCAACAAGTTTTAAACTTCTTGTGTGATACAATGCCTATATATAGTAATGAAGCTCTGCTTATGACAATTATGATATAGTATGTATGCTTCTTGGTATAATGAAGTATGTATTGGATTTTTTAATCCTGTAGAAACAGTATGCTTTGAGAATAGCATCTGTAACCCTCTAAGCTGCATGCTTGTTTGGATCTATCAAGAAGACCTATAGTTAAACAGCATTTATTGGCAAAATTTGTGTGATTATTTTTAAGCTCTTTCATAAACTCACATTCATTAAGATGAAATTTACATTATTAAAGAAAGTAAGAAAGCAAAAGATCTTAAATTGTAAGCTAAAATGTACCAGGTCACAAAATTCTCATGACTGGATAAAGCCAGTCTTGGCACTCAGAGGGTTAATGTAGATTGTCACTGGAATAACTGTGACAAGAGTGATATTAATTTCAAATGGCATAAAACTTTTAAAATATGTAGCATATTAAATTGAAACTTTATCTCCTCTAGTATGTCTGTTATTTAAAATTTTCATTTGTAATGGGTAATATTAAATTTTAATTACTTTTCTTTCTAAGGAGTTTAAGTATAAAAATATTGTTCAACAGTAGTTTCAAAATTCATATAACTTATAAAACTATATAACTGGAAATACAAAAGCTTAAATTCGTGACCAATATTATCAAAATTTTGATTCAGTAAAGGCTGAATGAAGGTAGCACATCTTTGCTGACCACAAATAATAACCATAAAACCCTTAAAGAATAAAATTGTTTAGAAAATCTTCTACTGTGTAATTTATTATCGATGATTTCATATATGGTTGTTTATTAGCAACTTAAAATTTAGCAGTACAATAAAAGTAAGCTTACAGCTGTTGTAAAAAGTCCGTTCTGCTGACAGATGGTGCTACCTTCTTGTTCGCTTTACTCCTTTTTGGTATGAGTAAAACTGTGGTTTTCCCTCCACTGCAGATTTCTTTGCTTCTGATGATGAGGGACCTGTACCTGGCTGCTTTCAAAACTGAGAAAATCTTGGCTAAAATCTATGACAAACACAAGGCTATTGCTTTTGCCTAATTTTATCATTAAGTGCAGTTCATTACAGAGGTAAATGCACAAGAACAGAGTTATTATTTATATGAAATACACTGCACTGTTCTTCATTTCATGTCAATGGGATATACCTCTTGGTAGAGCTAGGGTAATTATTGTAGTAGATTACATTTTTTGCTACTATATGATATATCAGAGTTATATGTTAAAAGTTCTCAGGTCCTAATAATACAGTATTTTATGTGGCAAAGAACATATGCAGCCTTATATAAGGTAATCATATTAAATACACTGTTGTACGAGGGCCATCCAGGAAGTAGATTACGTTTCCGTCTGTGTCCGCTAGGGGCGGGGCTAGCGCGGCCATCTTGGGTCAATCGTTGCGGCATCTCAATTCTGCATCTAGCCGTGCTAGTGAGAGGTTCGTGCTGTGCTCCGTTCAGATACTTGACAGTTTGAAATGTCTGCGTTAATTAAATCCTGCGAGGTGCGCTCTATAGGTTTCTGACTGAAAAACTGTAAACCGATAGAAATCTATCGGCAGCTTCGTAAGTGTATGGTAACATTATCACTGAGGTGATGCGTCAGTGGGTCTAAATTTCAAATGGCCGAACCAATGTTCACGACGAAGATCGAAGTGGGAGACCAGCATAGTGACCGCCGACTTCTCGAAAAAGTCGATGCTAAGCCGTAAATCGAAATTTCACAAAACGGAACTTTCTTTGATTTCCCCAAATTTCGCGAAGTTTGTTGCCGAAATCATCACGAAAAGCTTGGTTACCACAAGTTGTGCAAGATGGAAGGCAAGAGAGGTAACGAAGTGGTTTGAAGCGCAGGCGGCCGAATTTTCGACGAAGGAATTTCCAAGCTCGTACATCGCTACGATAAATGCCTATTTGTTGGTGACTATGTAGAAAAGTAGATTTGAGTGGCTTCATCTGTTATAATAAAATTTGTTTCCTATACTTTGTTTATTTTTTTATTCCAAAACGTAATCTACTTTCTGGATAGCCCTCGTATTATGGTGATACTAGTGCAATTATACATTTTTGTAGTGGGACACGTGCTGAAGGTATTTGTATGTAGTGTTAACAATCTTTTTAAGACTAAAATGTTGCTGTTGGAAAATGCCAGTACAGATGCAGTCCAGATAAAATATTTCAGTAAATCATACTGTTTATTCTTGTGCATAGAGAAATAATCTATTTTACAGGCTTTTATTTTCAGAGATATTTTTAATCCAAGCTGACCAGTTGTCTGCTGGACAACGTAAATGCTTTGTGCATTTACAACTGAATGTGTAATGATTGGGATTTCCTAGTGAGCAGAAATTTGATTCTGCAAGGTTGAATCTGTTGAATTGTCTGAAAAGTTATGATGCATTTTTTCCTTTATTTTCTAATATATTAGGTCTAATATTCTAATATATCAGTACTCTAAGAAAAGTCCATGTCTGGTTAAGAAGGTTGTCATATATATAGTCGAGCAGAATAAATGTTCATAAACCTTGGGAATAAACTTGTATATTCATCATCCAGTGGCAGCATCATGCCAGCATAGTTGCCACAGTCGTATTAGAGTTTCCATAGTTTTTTTTTTAGAAGTGAAGGTGGAAATGAAATTTCCTCTAAATGAATGCCAAAAGCATCTTTGTCATGTCATCAGCTAATTTATTTTCCTGGATGCTTACATGTGCAGGCACCTGTCCAAGACTGCATGAATATTCAATGATATGGTGAGTAACTGCAGTCTGATATCATTAACTTGGAGGGTTTCGCTAATTCTTCCTTTAACTGCTTCAAGACTGAATTTTGAGTAACTATAAATTTTGGTTTTACACCCAAATTTACTTGAAAAATATATTATCTTCTAAATGGCAGTCAGCACAGCGTTACAAGGCTGATTTGTTGATGCTGAGTCGTATTATCCATTTTCCAGTAATAATGCCATCATTGAATATGATGGCATTATTACTGGAATAGCAGCCCACAGCTGCTAAAATGAGAACACTTGGAGGGCAGTCTGAGTGTTTCCCACCCTTCTTCCTCCACTACCAACTTCTTGAGAGGACTTTCGGCATGCTGTGTATTTTAGTGCCTCCTTGCCGCATGGACATTATATACTTACACATATAAATGCTTTTTCCGGGATTCAAGCTTAAGCCGATCAGTACGGCAATCAGCATCACTGACCACTGTACTGGCTAGGTGGCTTCTACCACTCAAAAGCAGGAAGCGTGATCCAGGTCAGCATCAATATAACATCAATCAATACATTGTCAATTAGTCACAGTGTGACTCCTTAGCCAGCAAGTGTTTGAAAGTGACATACAGGAATCTCAGTTAGTTTGAAGAAAAATCATACTTACAGCACACCTGTTTTCTTTCGTTATCATTCTCTGTTTCTAGATTTCAAGAAAAAAATATTTTTTTGGGGGGGGGTATTTTATTTTTATTTATTTATTTATTTATTTTTTACTGGTGGTTCAGAGGTTCGGATATTAGATCATTCCAGATTTTGGACTTTCTACTGTATTCATTTTACATTTTTATGAAATATTTTATTCTGTTATCAAAACATGAATATGTATCAATAATAACTGTATATCAAGATGAAATATAGAATGCTGTATGTTAATGTTAAGTATTATTTGTGATCATTATGAAGACCAGTCATAAAGGTTGTCCCCCCTCGGTTCAAATAGCTGAAATAAACACTTATAGTTTAATGCCTAAACCTTCATTTCCCCCCCCCCTTTAATTTGGCTGCCTCTTGGTTTTCTGGGGGGAAAAAATTAAAAAAAAAAGAATAAATAAATAAAATAAAGGATTGTTAAATTCTGTGAAGACTTTATAAAAACATTATAGTAGACTGGAATTAGAAATAATATACTAACAAACATAGCCTACAAATTTTTGAAATCTTGAAACTGAATCAAACTCAGTCACTAAACAAAAATGAACAAAAGTTAGATGCAGAAGCTTGACAGGATCTGGGCAACTGAAAAGATAATCATTTTTCTTAACAGTAATACCAAACTTTGCATGGATTAAATTAATTTTGAATTCTCTGATGTGTGATATTTGAGATTTAAAATCATTTTTCACTAGGCTGGGATCACAACAACTCTAAATTCTCGGTGTGCGGTATTTGCTGCTGCCAACAGTGTATTTGGAAGATGGGATGAAAGCAAAGCAGAGGCTAACATAGATTTTATGCCTACAATTTTGTCACGATTTGATATGATTTTCATTGTTAAAGATGAACATGATGAAAGGAAAGATAATGTAAGTATAGTCAAAACTATTAAAAAAATTTTAACTGTAGAACTTGTACGTTAATAAATGTCTTTGTTGTAGTTGCTAATTCAGAAGTGAAATAAAGGCCCTTTATGCACATTTTTAACATCTCCTGCTTCAAAAATAGCCTAATGACTCTACAATACGAGCCAATTCCCCTTATAAAGGCCTCCATGAAGGCACCCCTCTCGTTAGGCAGATAGCCCTCGAGTATTTTTCCGTAATCAAATAAACCAAACCAAACCAAACGAAACCACTTTCAAATAAAGTTAAACAAGGGAAAAGGAAAAAAAAAAAAAGGAAATTGACCTTTAATTGAAGTTAGTGTCATTGAAAAATGTATTCAGTTCAAAAATAATCATATGATCTGTTGAATTTAAGCTTACTGTAAAATCTGTCAATTTAAGGTTAATTTTTTTCATTCATTAAAATTGGATATTGGTGAACTTCTCTTCCATATACAAATAAACTTTTCCATATCTTCAGACTGCAAAGTTCACCTTGCTTTATGAACAGATATATTGTTATGCTGGAAAAGAAGTCATGCACCAGAATATTAACATGCTTCTTAATCATGTTATTGTCCAGAATGCCTTTGGATCCAGGAAATATTTTTAAACCACAACTGATTTAACTTTTAGTATATATTTCTGTATATGCCATTAATCAAACGTCCTCAAGCTTCAGGCATATCTATTAGATGCAAAAGTCGTAAACTGTGTACTCATTCTGTATGATCATTTTTCACTATTCTGCAATTAATTGATGTGTTATTTGCATAATTCCAAGTCAAATTATGTGTAGACACATATAGTTTTGAGGGAATTTAACCATGAAAACTAAGAACAAGCATCTCTCAATGCATGATTCTATTACTAGCATTCATTTCTGAACTTAAGTGAAAATCATCTGATGTAATAGCTGAAGTTGTCTAATGATGTAAAAAAATATATAAATGTGCAATAATTGTGAGTTACAAATGAAATTATCAATTTATTAGTTGTGACACGTGAGTAATAAGCAATTGACATAATTAAGAATGTGTGTGCTGGAAAGTTTAACAATTTGAAGTTTAATTGGCATTTACATAAATGGATTAAATGTATTTAATTTTGCTAATATGTGTGAATTAAAATAATGCTGCGAATAATGAATATTGGAGGTGTTAAAGGCGACAAAAGTAAGAGTGTTTCACTGATTCTTGTTGCCTTAGTACTTCCAATAATATTTGTGTGTACAGGGTACTTGGAAAACATTTGTCAGAATTGTAAAGATGAGTAGAAGAGACCAAAATGAATAGATTTTGCAATGAAATGTGTATTCCCAAATTGCCCAAATGGCGTAATAAGGTGGTATAGAATGCTATTGAGTGGGAGATAAAAACTCTTGCTGTCGGGAATTGTCATTTCTCATGTGAATTTTCAGAGATATGCATTGTTTCATGAAAACAGAGCTCACTGACATGCATTTTATCTATAGGATTGCAGATGAAAATAGAGCAGCTGATCAGAAAAGCGTAATTTTTGCTGCAACCCCTTAGATAAAATGCAAAAATGCACAGCATCAAGTGTTGTGTTCTTATAGGGAATGATGATTTATGTCAATTAAATGCTTTTATCTTCTGCAGAACAGAGCTCTGTATCATCTCAGTGCTCCTTTTTGGCACACACATTCCATTACAAAATCTGTCTGTTTTGGTCTCCTTTATCTGTGTTTACACTTTTGCTGGATATTTTCAAATATTCTGTATGTGTAAATATATGTAGGGTAATTCTGCTACCAGACCAACAAACTTGCAGGGTGTGTAGAGGGTACAGAGACGACTCGAAATCTTATAGGAATGCAGTGTTGCAAATGCTGTAGTTGTGAGGCATGTGGCAAAGAAGCAGAGAAAAAGAACAGGAAAAACAATACATTAATGGGACAGAAAACACTTTATTGAAAGTTTGTACTACAACATTTGTTCAAAATTGCGGCCAGAATTCATCCGGTAGGCCTGACTGTGTCATTGCATGGAATTCCGTACGTTCTGAAAGATTCCTCCCGGCAGTCTTGCGGTAAATGGCACTGAATAGAAGGTTGGGTGAACAGCAATCCTACTGTAAGTCGTCATTTGCGATCCGTTTTCTGAAGTAGAAGTATGAATGTGTATTTAGATGATGAACTGGTTGACATGATGATCGTGTATGGAGCTGCGGATTGTAATGGGCACTCTGCTCGCCGGTTGTACCAGGAAAGTTACCTGAACAGGTGTGCTCAACATTATATGACTTTGGCAAGTCTGAACAGAAGGTTATGTGAGACTTCTTGTCTGAAGAGAGCTGCAATTAATCAACAGCGAATGACGAGGACAATGAGGAGGCGGTTTTGCATCTGGCAGAAGAAATTCCAAGTATGAGTACTCGAGTGATAGCCCAACAAGTGGGTTTATCTCAATCCATCATCTGAAGGATACTAGCAGCAAACCAAATGAGCGCATACCATCTTCATGACGTCCAATTTTTAGAGTTTGAGGATTATCTACTCCGGATGTTTGCTACATGGTTCCTGCAACAGAATGCTAAAGACGGTGCATTTGCTGTGTCCATATTGTTCACAGATGAAGCATACTTCACATGTGAGGGAGCCTTCAATTAGCATGACACCCATGTGTGGGCTTTGGAGAACATCCATTGTAGGCAACCAGCTCAAGAGCATTTCTTGGTCAATGTTTGGGCTGGCATTCTTGGAGATTACCTCACTGGACTGTACTTTCTGCCCAGTTCATTGGATGATAGGGCATACCTGATCTTCTTGCAACATGTCCTGCCTGAACTTCTTGATGCAGCACATGTTCTTCTGTTGTTGCCCTGCTTCATGTCGTATCAGTATGACAGGGCTCCTCCACATTACAAGATTGATGTCCACCGACATCTTGACGTAACCTTTGGACGCCGGTGGATATGTCATGGTTGTCCGGTTCATTGGCCTGCTAGATCACCAGGCCTATCATGCATAGACTTCTTCTGGGGTCACGTAAAGAGTTTGGAGTACGAGCCACTTGTTCTTTCAGCTGAAGACCTCACCGCTCAAGTATCTATAGCTGCCAGGAGGATACGTGACATGCCAGGAATCTTCTAGAACATAAGGAATACCATGCAGCACTGCTGTCAGGCCTGCCAGACGAGTTCTGGTTGTAATTTTGAACATCTATTGTAGTGCAAACTTTCAATAAAATATTTTCTGTCCCACTAATGTGTTGCTGTTTCTGTTCTTTTTCTCTGTTTCTTCGCACCATAACCTACAATTACGGCATTTGCGACCCTGCATTCCTATGTAATTCCAAGTCGTTTCTATACCCTCTAAAGACCCTACAAGTTTGTCGGACTAGTAGCGAATCAGCCTGTATGTATTGCCCAATTTTCTTAGTAATTTTACTGCTTGAAAACCAGGGAGGGAAAAGTACATGAAGATACCTATTTCTAAAAATATGGTTTCAATGATAAATATATCACATTAAAAAAAGCACACATAAAGACTTCTAATATAATTTTACTAGCGGGCAAGCCTGCCAGCTGAACGGGCTGCAGCCAAAGCAAAATTTGTAAGTTCTATGTACCCCCGAAAAGCAAATGTATAGAAACATTTCAGTATGAATGAGATCAGTTCATTCTTCCCAAGGAACAACTAATTCGTAAATGATTTTTTTATTGCCAAACCAAGAAACATATAAAACATATAAAGTTCAACATTATATGACTTTTGAAACTTCAAGATAATACATATGATGTCATAATATAAATTTAATGTACTATAACAATATTTTCTCACTATCAATAAACAAAATTAACGTGGCATTAACATATTGTGTCAATTATATTAATCTCAAACAAAAAAGTTGCCAACAGCAAGTATTTATTTAAAATGCTGACATTAATGAAAAAATTTCAATATACAATGATGTCACATGCAATCGCACGCTTTTTTTAATGTCAGAATATGACCTTATAAAATAGTAATGTGTTTAAAGTTTAGCAATGCTGTTTTTATTTCATATTTTGTAAAACTTACAAACATTTTATTAACAAAGTGTACGATTTAGAAGCGAGCACAGGCAACACTTTTCGAAATAAAGTAAATTTTTATCTCCAGCATGCAAGACTGTTGCCACTCGGAAAAATAAGTGCGAAAATTAGCGTTTTCAAAGTTTTTGATTAATATCTTGGGTGATTAAAGTCGTTTAAAGATCATAATGGTTGGAATGGCTTCTCATGAATTTTTGGAATCAGGAATAATATATTTAATGTTTGGCAATGCTATTTTTATTTCATATTTTGTAACACATAGAATTTTTTTGTTAAGAAACTCAAGATTTGAAAGTGAGCAGTGGCAACATTTTTCTAAATAAAGCAGATTTTCATCTCCAACGTGCGAGACTGTTGCCACTTGGAATAATGAGGGCGAAAATTAGCGTTTCCCCAAGTTTCTAATTAATAGCTTGCCTAATTAAAGTTGTACGAAGATGTGAATGGTCGAATATTGTTACCATAAATCAGAGGTTTCTAAATCTGGAAAAAAAATGCCTATGGGGGGGAAAATATGCGAGTAAATGCAGTACACCCACACATATATAGGATTTCAGGGTTCGTACAGTCCTTAATAGTCCTTAAAAGTCCCTAGATTTTTTGGAATCTAATTTTGGTTCTTAAAAGTCCTTAATTTTGGCCAAAATCAGCAGAAGGTCCTTAATTTTAATCATCTGAAATTTCTGTCTGTTTTTACGACTGTCATTTTTGGTTGTGAATTAGCATTTTGAGTAATATTTTTGGCGATTTACTGCCATATATATGTTTATCTTTTGAATGGGTTCATGTGTTATAAACTTGTTTCTATTTCTAATATAAATGATGGGATACTCGAATTTCTAAGCAAGAAGTGAAACATAAGCATTTCGAAATTCATTTTTTCTAGTATAGAGCTCTTAAACAACTTTTCGCTTTTGGGCATGTGAATTCTTTTATTAAACGGTTCTAAATTTAGCGACTTTTCAACATTCTGGCGATTTTAAGATTAGTTTTTATAGAAACATTTTTAATTCCAAGATCTGAGAATTTTTCGACGATTTTTTTTTTTTAAACATCATAACACTAATAAATTTCATTAAAATAATGGTAATATATTGAAATTATATTTTAAAAATAACATTCAAATTAATTAAATTAAAAAATATATTTTTCGGTGTCACATTATAAAGTTTCATTTTGGCAACTTATTATACAATATTTTAAATCTGAAAAATAAGCAAGGTATAATGCTATAAAGCACAATTTACGAAACAGCTCTTAGCAAAAGCAAAATTAGCTATCTAATTAATTAAAAATGTCTTGTTCTTAATTTTTTCGTAGTAAGAGTTTTTCCCATGTAACTGTCTCAGAATATTCAAAATTCTCAGAATGTGCATCAGTTTTCTCTATAAAATTAATTTTATACATTATCCCTCCATTTTTTTTCCAAAATATTTCTGTCTTTTTGATGTTACAGAAATGGTAGGGATAATTTTTCTTTAGGATTTTAGACATTGCAGCTTGGAAAGTTTAGAAGGATTTGAAGGCAAGATTTATAGACGCACGGTTCTAAAAGATTCGAGAAATATGTGACAAAATGAAAAATTTCTCCATGGTATCAACACGTAATGGATGTATTTTACAGAAAGTTTGCAATGAATTTCTTAATTTTTGGAGAATATCTGGAAGAACATTGAAAACATAATATTTGAATGTTTTACTTCTGATACTAGAATCTTAACATGTTTATTTTCTATTTATTTTCTCTACTTTACACTAGACAGAAGCATGGAAAATATCAAAAATGCTTCTGATCTTATCACATGGACAGGCATTATAGAAAGGGATTTTTTTATTAATAAAGAAATTGAAAACTTACAATTTAAAAGATTCGTCTAATATTTCTTAATGTGTCATACACATAGCTGGCACTAGGCATTTTCCCACATGATGCAATCTCTGTGGATCCTAAATTCTGCTGCCTGTTGCCTTTTTAAATTCTGCTTCCAATGCATGCAGTAAATTCTAAAAGTTTTGCCATTTTTAGACTTAGTTGTTCGGTGTGTCATTAAATTCTAGAAATTCTGCCACATCAGCTCTGTAACTGGACGTAACTATATAAATTTCATAATGCTTCTGAATGATCATATTACTAAAGAAATAAAATTAGCCGCTTTTCTTCTACATTCTAAATGCATTTAGTGTTTTTTAGAATAACAGAAATCCTTAATTAAATCCAAAAATTCTAAAATGAAAAAAAACGCGTTGAAGAAAGAAATGAATACATAAAGGAAATTATTCTTAAAAGATATGTGCAGTTATTATTATGTAAATTTCCCAATTGTTTATGATTTCAACCTTTACTATAATTTCCCATTTCTATTTCCTTATATGATAGAGTTATTGAGCCAGATTAAATTTAAATTAAATTGTATAATCTTTGACCACTAGTCCACATTATTAGTTTGAATTTGACTGTTCTTGTTTAATTATGTCACCATGAGCTGTAATTGATTTTGTTAGCATCAGAACATGCCTTTATGTTCCAAGTTCTTTCTAAATAAGAGGCTTATTTAAACCTTTCTCGGATATTGTAGTTAACTTTCAGACATAGCGATAATATGCTTCACATCTGTCGGGAGGTTTTGACTATTTAACTTTTACCAGATTAATTAAACCCTCATAGGTACATTGCGGAGAGGTTGACAAGTTAGGAGATAAAGCACGCAGAAACTAGCAAGAGCATTGGTTTGCATATTGAGATAAATCTCTAATTGTTAGAAAAGGTGCTTAAAAGAGAAGGAAATCGATCTAAACTAGCCAAAATGTCTGGGAAGGCTTCAAATTAAAATGACAGATAAATATTTTGTTGACTGTTGTTATCTTAATTAATTGTGTAATTATCTTAATATCGTTTAAGAATCTCTGTCATAAATTACATGTATTTTAAACTGTGAAATTTTATTATATTTTGATTTTAATAGGGCTTTTTTAACAAATATTGTTAAAAAAAATTTAATACAGTCAAAAGTCTTTAATCCGGACTCGTCGGGACTTTGGCGATTCCGGGTTATTGGTTTTTCCAGATTATAGATCATCAGTTTAAATCTGGTAAGATGGCATGCAGAAATTATAAAATTAAAAATATGAAACCGTAATTTATGAAATAAACAGCAATTATGATCTAAAAGGTATCAAAATTTACAAAAAAAAAGCTTAATATTTATTTGTTTACTTTATTAAACATTTCTTTCAACGCGCGCATACATAAAGCATACATTACGCATAGTCGAAATTAGAAAATTGCAACCAGAAAACTATTTGATGTGTATTCGTGATATTTATAATGACAAGGAATTTGATTTAAATCATATCAAAGACGGTGTACATCAAGATGAAATACTGCATTTAGTAAGGAATTATAAGCCAAATAAAATAAAGACATCTGCCCTGAAGATAAGGATAGCGCTGACAGTTCTACTTACAGTTCATTGCGTGTTGCGACGTCCCCCCCCCAACCCGGATTGATAAACAGATCCAGCGGGAAATTGATAAACAGATTTCAAAATGGTTAGACAAACAAAGGATATGCTTTTATCCATTTTTTGTAGCAATTCCACTTTTTGTTTGATGGACATCAAAACATGCTTTCGCTTTGTAGATCCTTTGGCAGCTCCAGAATCGGAAATTCTTTTTGACATAATCGAAAGTTCAAGCTTTCTTTTATAAAATTGCTCTAACAGTCTGCAAAAAATAATAAGCCGGATCCAATTAGAAGATTAAAGAACAACACAATTTGCAACATTAACTGAAATTGATAATTAGATAATTTTAGCTTATCTTATGCCGTTCGTTATACATTAAACGTACATGCGTAAACGTATTATGCGCATGCGTAAACGCATATGTGCATGCGTAAATGCATTTACGCAGAAAATTTGTAGCTTTGAGGTCCAGATTATAGATCATTCCGGATTATGGACATCCGGATTAAAGACTTTTGACTGTAATGGTCACATGTAAATCCATAATGACTAAGGTTATCAAACTACCTAATTTAATTATTTATAACTGCTTTAAAATTATCTATAAAATTATCTCTACATATTAAAGCGAGTTATTGCATTTCATTAATACTCACTGTGGTCACAAGATAAAATATAAAAATATAAAAATTCAAGTAAAACATATTCTATGCATCTACTGAGATCTAAAATAATACAAAACAACTTATCACTTCTGGTGCTTTAATGCCTTATTGGAACCTTAAAGTATATTAACTGGGTTACAACCCCTGGAACTGTAAACGAAGCTATGACACTAACTGCATCAAACTAACTTTCAACACCTTGCCTACATCAGGCCTTTCAGGTTTCTTCTAATCAGCAGTTTTCTCTATAGACAAGCAGCAGTGGTGACAACATTCAGTCTTTTTGTTACGAATCATGCTGATTATGATCTTACTTAAAAAATCTACCTGCTTATTTACTAAACTTCTAGACTGACCAAGTATGTGATAAAATGAGACATAAAAAAAAAAAATCTAACATAAAGCTAACTATTAGTAAAACGTAAATGTCACTTCTCTTCTTTCAAATATGACCAACTATTACAAGTGTAAAATATTTAATGTTACTTGATAAATTGCATAAAGTTTATTTTATTCTCAAACTTATTAACAGTTATGTTAATTAATTCATGTTTAGTAAAATAATGTGTACTACTTAGGGATCTATTTTATTTTTAGGATGTTATTACAAAATTAAAATTCAGGCATAGATAATATCTTCAATTGAATTTATTCAGTTCCCATTTGCTCAAAAGTCCTTAATTTTTTTTCATTAATGGTCCTTAAAAGTCATTAAAAGTACTTAATTTCCATGTGCAGAAATGTGTACGAACCTTGGATTTGGACAAAAAGGAGAAGGGCATGGTTTAGACAAAATCACATACACATTTAGTATTTAGTATAATTTAGTAAACATAATTAGTTGCAAGAAATTTAGTGGTTATATATAATTTAATTATAATATATATATATAATTAAAGATTTAGAAACCTTTGATTTATGCTAATAAATAAGAAATTATTTTATGCAAGTAAAAGAATATTATTGAAAGTAATAAGTCCTTTGAAGTACATAATATAATTATATTAGATTTCTTTATATAAAGAGGGAGATATAATGTAATTAATATATATTGTAATTAAATTATATTAAATACTAAAATTTTAACCTTCCAAAGTATTACAAAAATCCCCCCCCCAAAAAAATAATTAAGAATTAGTTAAAAAAAAAATAGAGTTTTAGCAAAAGTGAAGTATGTTTTACCATTTGCACTAGACTAACCTCGACCAAAGTATTTTTGTAATATTTTGGAAGGTTATAATTTTAGTATTTAATATAATTTATTTACAACATAATTTTGGTGCTAAGTACAATTATTCCTTTGGTTTAGAATACTATTTATATTTTAAAAAATTTTCTGAATTTATTTTCCTGCACTTTTTAAAGCAATTTCTTACATGAATGTTCCTTGAAATATTTTATGTATTAGAAAATAATTAATGGATGTTTTAAATTCTGTGCAATGTTTTATTTTAGACTTTAGCAAAGCATGTTATGGGCTTACACATGAATGCTTTGCAAGCTACTGAAGAAGTAGAAGGTGAACTAAGCCTCATCACCTTAAAGAAATATATTGCCTACTGCAGATCGTAAGTACAACCGAATTAGGTTAAATTTAAATGCTATGTTTAGGCAAGTGAAATGTAATTAGTTTCAACAGAATCTTCTTTCTAAACACTGATTGTTGTACGTCTTTTACTATGGACTAAGTAAATTGAAATTGCATATTTCTATGTGATTCTTATTGTCTCATGCAGAATTACATGTCATGAATCCTGTCTCTTTTCATGTAATTTTTTATCTGAGATTAATAAGTGAATCACAGCTGTAGCAGCAATAATTCATCTGACAATTTAGGTAGGGAAAAATATGACTATCTTGTAAAATCTGCGAGTTCTGTCTTCATTTGATCTCTGAAATATCTGACATTTTTCATTTTACGAAGGATTTATCTAGCAAGAGCAGACTTGACAACTGCAATAAATATATGCATAAGAGGTTGGTACATAGTATCATTTACCTTTAATCTAACATCTATACACTGTTTCATAGCAGCAACATTCCAACAGTTGCTGTGAGAGACACCTTGTAACAATACTTCTACATTTGCTATTAAATGCAGCATCTGTCTCAGAAAGCCTCTCTAATATGAATTTTTAATTAATGTTAGATACCTGTTGCATAATTTATTCCTATTCTTGTGTGCTAGTTATGCAAAAAATAAAATCTTATGGTAATATTTTATTTTGATAGAAAATTTTGTTTCATTTGAGAGCAACAGTACATAATATTTTTGTTTAAAATTTTGAAATGTGCTTTTCTTTTGATTTGTAGAACTCAGAAACTTACTGTTCTTATGTATCGTAGTTTGGTTATATACATGGAAAATAAGTATTTGTGGTTAGAAATAAAAAAAAGTTCTGAAATGTTTCCGATTAATGTTTGTTCAAAAGGGTTTGTTAAGGTTATTCATGCTCTCGCTGAGCTCACAGTCTACCAGTCTGCTGTTACACTCACTCATGCTACCCTCCGGGCCCACCAGCGGCCGAGCGGTAAAGTCTCTGAACACTGGTAGTTCGGTCCGAGGTTCGAAACCCACGAACGGGCTGGCTGCATGGGTGTTTTTTTGGTTTTCCCCGTGTGTAACGTGCATACGAGCCAGTTTCCCTTAAAAAGTCCTCCTCGAAGGCATCCCTCCCCTTAGGCAGATAGCCCTAGTGTGCTTTGCTATAATTAAAAACACCACACCACCTGCTACCCTCCCCCTTTTTTGTATTATTTATGACTAAGCAACTTTTTTTTTTTTTTTTTTTTTTTTTTTTTTTTTTTTTTTTTGCACTTACGCCACATACAATTCAACAACAAAATCAAAAAAATTTTAAAAGCATGGCAGCATGTGTTTAGAATTCCCAATGCAGTATCAAGTGTTGGCAAATATTTTTCTGTTTAATTTTTTTTTCTCAGTTCCTATATCATTGTTCAGTTTTCTTAATAGAATGCCTTATAAAACTTTTTTTTTTTTTTGCTTTTTTATTATTAGTGCTTTGTGTGTTAACTTTATTTATTAAATATCACGTTCTTCACACTTACACCACATAAAATTCAATTCAATGGCAAAATCACAAAATGTTTAAAACCTGCATATTGTTGGAATTTCCAGTAGGCAGTCTCACATGCCGGAGGTAAAAATATTTTATTCCATACGGTTTCCAAAATATGAAATATATAATAAAAGAATATAAACCTCATTCTATGAAAATTTTGAATATTTTAAATTTGATACAGGAATTAAATGCATTTCTATTCGAAATGGGCACCAAAAAGTTAGCCCAGAAGAGCTATTAGTCTCAAAACAGCATTTTGCGTCGAGTCACTGTAAACAGCTATATCAGTTTTCAAATTATTGCCACCGAATAGTATCACCATGCATTATATTTAAAGAAATTAAGTAATGTAGAATCTGCATAAATGTATGTATGTTTCTTGCACTGCAAAAAAAACAGCAATACCTGCAGACATCAAAGTTTGCACGTTGTAGTCCTCCACTTGAGATGGGCACATGGAAGCCTGAGTCTTGAATTTCGAGTTTATTTTATTATCTACTATAAAGGCCTTTATTTTCGAGGCTTTAATTTTCGCAATTTTCACGAGCCCATCGTAATCATGAAAATTTAAGACTCGCGAAATACTTTTTTTTTTTTTTTTTCCCTAAATAATAATAAAAAATCAAATTTTTCATTTACCTAAAATTTAATGATTTATTGCACAGTTACAAGCTTTTTCTTGACAACTTTCTTTCTTATAACTATTTTTTGAATAATATACAACTATATTTCTCGAATATAAAACAATAAAATTAATAGAAGACAGCTCGTTCCCTTTAAATAGTATTGATACCAGCTTCTTTGAAGCCATTCAAAATTATCTCATGTTTGGCTTCAATACCGTTAAATACGCGCACAAACCAAGAAGCATGAATCGGTTTTAGTCTTGATATTCGCAAGTCCACCAATTCTTTTTACCTCTAGAAATTGAAGCTCATTAGAATACCACTCAATAAACTCATTCTTGAGCAAACACTTGAACTCGCCATTTAGACAAGAACAGGTGGGGGGGGCGAACTTTTCTGACAAAAGGAAGTTTCTTAAAATGCTTTATTCAAAAAAATTAATTTTGGAATTTCTCAACTTTACTTAAGTACTTTTGAAATTTTTCAGCTTTCGGTTCTGTTCACATAAAATTCGCGAAATTTTCAACTTGCGAAATCACCGTTATATTCATTTTCGCAAAAATAAGGGCCTTTACAGTATTTAATATTTTTAAACTTTAACGAACTTTTGATTAATAAACTCAGTGATTTCAAAGTGATCAGTGGCAACAAACACACTGTGTGGAATAAAATATTTTTATCTCCAGCATGCGAGATTGTTGGTAAATCTAAACTCATGCTATTTTAAAATATTTTTAGCCCAGAAGGGCGTTAGCCTAAATGTCTCAAAATGTGTATAGATCCGGATGGAAAACTTTTAGATTGAAAAAAATCATACTTAAATAATAAATAATTTTTACTGTAATATACAGAAGTTATGATAGGTGGGACTGATAAAAAGGACGTAAGATGGGACGGGATTTAACCTTACACCTTTGTATTTTTTTTTTTTTTTTTTTTTTTGTTTTTTTTTAATCATTTAAATCAATCCAGTTCACAAGAAAGAAATGAATATTTTTAAGAACTGCATCTATTGCTTTCAAATAGTTTAGTTTGTTAGTTTGCAACAGACAGATTCAATTTGAAGGTGAATAAATATCTTACATTTTGCCAAATGACAACAGACTCAAATGAAAAGTGAAATGCACATTTATAGTGATTCAACACAAAATTCCCTTTGAGACTAATAGCCCTTATGTGCTTTAAAAAAAATTCCCTGGAGGTTGTACAAAAATATCAGTCGAAAATTAAATTGTTTGGCAAGCCATGAATATTTATATTCCTTCATGTTACATATTACTTTAATTGATGTACTGTAGAAAGATGAGGAATTACCTGTCTTATGTAATGCAAATAAGAAGTGAGCATAATTCTTAACATCCTATTATTACCTGTGCGAAACAAGATGTATTCTTGTTTTATTAAATTTAAAATTCCATTCAAACAGAAAGTAAACTTTGTGCAAAGTGTGGTGAATTAGTTCTTTTCAATTTACTATTGTTTACATCATTATTATTATGCTGAATTAGTATGCAAAGTCTTAGTGCATTTATTAATATTGATTGCTATTTATTTACCAATTAAAAATATTTTACCCCCAAAAGAAAATTACTATTTCATCATTTAACAGGAGATGTGGACCTCGCCTTTCAAATGAAGCTGCTGAGAAGTTAAAAAATTACTACCTGTTTATGCGTAGCAGTAGCAAAGAGCATCAAGGTGTAGAAAAGAAGTCAAATATTCCTATCACTGTGAGGTAGTTTTATTTATATGCAAAATTATTTTTATTGAAAAATTTTGACTTTAAAAATGTTGTAATAATATAAAAATAAATTTTACAATTTATTATCAGTAAGTGTATTAAATATCTTTAATAATGGTATGTAATTATTAATCATTCATTTTTGAAGAAAGAAATGCAGGTACAATAACAAAACAAATATTAAGCATAGGCTTGTATTTTTCATTCAACAAAACTTTAAAATTTATTGAAATTTCTGAAGTTCACATGTCTGTAATTTAGTTTCTGTAGTAAACATCAGGTTTTAACGAAAGTTTCCCGCCACCACAAATATTGTCAGCATAAACAGTTCACGTTGATGTGTTTAATCATATTTTGTTAAATGATTCCTGACATTTGAAAGAAAGAGATTTGCTTTAGAACTGTGTTTTGAAATTTGTATAAAAAATATCGTTATCATTAAGTACAAAGTGTCTGAAATGGAACCATCACGCTACCAGATTAGAAACATCATTTTCTTCCAGTTCTGTTACAAAAAGGTCAGCTGCAGAATGTCACCAAATCATGTGTACAGCTTTAGGTATTAGGATTGTTATGTCTGAGGATGTTGTATCTGTGAAAGTTTAATACCGAAAGTTCAAAAACAAGAACTATGACATTCAAGGAGCAGAGTGCTCTGGCCGGCCTACCTGTGAGAACTTGTGGGAAGATCAGTATGCAACCACTCAAGAGTGCTAAGGAGTTAGACGTTAGTGCCATGCCCATTAGTCGGACTATGCATCAGATAAACTTGGTGTGCAAGTTCAATTGGTTTTTGCCGCATGAGCTGACTCAAGCAGATAAGGACAGAAATGTTTGGTCTCACACTAATCCGCTCGAATATCAACGCAAGGACAAAATTCTGGTCTAGGTCGTCACTTGTGATGAAAAGTAGATTTACATCAACAACACAGGCCGAAAAGGGGGTTGGTCTGTGTCCATTGAGCCTCTCAGCAGTGCCGCAAAATGCAGTTTGATTAACAAAAAGATCATGCTCTGTATTTGGTGGAATTACAGTGGTATTCACAAAGAGTATCCGAAAAAAGGTAAAACCCTCGACAGTAGAGTCTATAGCGAGATGCTAGTCCATGTTAATGCAGCTATCAAGGAAAAATGTCAAGCTGCACAAAAAAGTAATGTTTCATCAAGATAACGCAAGACCACATGTCTGCATTTACCGGCTGGACTTTGTACGGGCTTGAAAGGTATCTTTTGCCATACTTACCATATAACCTGGATATCGCTCCATCGGACTTCTACCTTTTTTCACACCTGCAGCTGGTGCTGTCTTCCATTCTGCATAGGAAGTTGGAAATGAGGATCTGCTTTTGGGCCGAAGGCTTTGAAAAACTATCAGAACGTTGGCAGAAGATCATAGATTTCGGTTGTGATTACTATCCGCACTAAAGGTACTGCTTTCATTTTTTTTTCCCTAACATTATTAAGAACATTTTTTGGTGGAAAACTTTCATTACAACTAGATACTTACATGTGTTTGTTTCTTGAAAATATATGTTTATTGTTTGAAAATATGCTTTTTGTATTTTCCTTATTAATTTTTGTTATTTTATGTACGTGAAAATAAGTCTTGCAGAAAATACTAATCTTCTATACATAAGATGTATAAACCGGGTAGTCTAAAATCGGTGAGTTTCGTCAAATTCCTCCCTGTATATTTTATAATTTTTTAATTTATGAAAACCAATATGTAATGTGTGATACACTGTAAAAAATGAATTGTTAGTAGACTCAAGATTATTTCTTTGTTGACATCAGTTATGCTTTCTATATTTTGTTAAATCCCTTATACTAATGTTGTAATTGAAGAAATCTTGAAGCAGAGTTTAGGAATTCTGTTTCACTTACACGAAATTGGAGACTAAATGTCTCTTTTAAAGTATCTCTGAGTCACATTTTTCTGAATAATAACTATTGTCAAATTGAAATATTACCTATATCTAACCCCTTCAGTCCTTTTCCTTGACATCTACATGCATTATTTTGAAGTTAAATTATTAAAAAAACTCTTTTGCATTATAGATTTTTTTTGTGCCAATGACAATTTTTCACCTTTAATAATAATAGACTTTAGAAAGATGTTATTTCCTGTAAATTTGATTGATGTAGCCAACTTGTTTCACATTCGAAATTGAATGAGGCAAGTCTGTATTCTTTAGCATTCTAATTTTCTTGATAAGTCTGATTTCAGCTCTATGATTTATTAATAAAACTTTTATCCTTACTTTATCATGTCAATGTATGCCATTATGCTAAACAAACAAACAAAAAATACCTGCATTTTTTTCTTATGATCATCAGTTGGTAAAGGCTAGTTCTTATTTATGAATTTAGTTATTTGAAATATATTGTATTTGATAGAACCACTTTGAGAAATTATTGACAAAGTCTTTTGAACAAATTCCTTTGACATTATTAATAACATTTTTATGTTACAAACAGAAATAATAATCTTTTTTTCTCTGGCAAGTAAAAAATTGGTGATATTCTCTATAAGTTTAACTTTCAGGTTATTTTTTAACAAATCAATAAATTAATTTGTTTATTAAAAAAACACTTTTCAATTTAATTTTTTGAGGATTTACAATATTCTTTGTCCATATCATCTTACATACAATGAGACACTAAAACATGAGACAGCATTAAAACTTTTCATTAAGAAACATGAATCCAATATTCGTAAAGGAGAAATAAGTAAGGTATTTGGTAGGTAATAATAGTTAGTTTTTTAACCACAATTTTAATTGTAATTCCGTTAAAATTATCCTTAAAATATCTTCCTTAATAAATTAAATGTATTTCACATAATAATTTAGTAAGGTTCCTGGATAATTTCATAAAACGATTTCAGTTTTAATGAGTGTACAATTAACATTTAAGTAGAAATTTTAGCTCAAAATGTTTATTTTATAATCAATAACATTAACAAAGTAATCATGGTAATAAAATTATACTTGCGATTATCATTTATAATTTAAATAATTATAATTATTCCATAACTGTTTATAATCAAGTTAAATAACATGATATAGTGAATAAATTTTAAATCATTAATAATGTATTTATTTTAGAATTATTGGGTTTTTATTATGCCACATTTATAGGTTTAATGTTTTGAATACCAGATAATGAAATATCCAATTTAATTTTAAAAAATTCAGTACAAAAGCGCCAGTTTAATTAACTGGTTTCACTGTACTCATTCCTAATTTAACCACTTTACTGCCTGTCCCAAATGTTGAAGAAAAAGTGAAATGTGTTGTCAGTAGGTTTGAACTAGCTTTAAACCCTAATATAGCACACTGTAATACTTCTTTGGCGATATGAAGCAACTCCAATGATGGAACACAGCAATAACTTTTATTTAACACTCAAAAATGGTGACATACAAACAAAAAAAAGAAAACATATTCTAACATTTAAAATAAATTGCATTCTTCGCGCGAGAGTCGCACGTGGCACTCGAATCTGGTTTCAAATATTGCCATTCACAAATACCCTAATGTTCATGTATTTAAATTATTTTAAACTACAAGATTTTAATACTATTTAAAGCTGTTACAACCTCTCCCCCAATGGAGAGACTTTTTCCGAAGGGAAAAGTTCTGTAAAATTTGACAGTTTTAATAAGCTCGGCTTGCTCATTTGCTTAAAGAGAAAAGGTAACTTCTCTCATAAGTTTCCAAATTTCAGGCCAAAAATTTAAAGTTTTAAAACAAATACTTTTACACCACATTTAAAAAGAAAAAAATGGAGAACGTTCAAATACATCAGTTGATCATACATTAAATAATCATACATTCTGAACGTGGTTACGTACACTAAGAGTTATTACATTACTTAATTCTACTCAGAACATCTACGTTCTTGTGCAAAGATCCTTTGCGATGAATGACCTTAAAATCATAAGGTTGTAATGAGAGTGCCCAGCGCATCAATCTAGAGTTGCATTTGGCGTTGGATTGTAGCCAGACCAAAGGATTATGATCAGTGTGAATCAAGAATTCTTGCTGACCATCCAGATAAAAATGCAGTTTCTTGATAGCGTAGATGATAGCAGTGCACTCCTTTTCAGTAGTACAATAATTCTTTTCAAACTTAGTAAATTTTTTGCTTATATACAAGATAGGATGTTCACGTTGTTCATCATCTAATTATCATAGTACTATACCCATGCCATTGTCTGAGGCATTGGTTTGTATAATAAATCTTTTATCAAAGTCGGGAGCATACAGAATTGGTTTCTTGCATAGCAACTCTTTTAAATTTTTAAAAGCTTTGTCACATATTTCAGACCATTGTATATTTCCTTTTTTTGTTACCCCCTTCAAAGCGTCCGTGAGGGGTGAAGCAATTTCCGAAAATCTTGGTATGTACTGGCGATAATACCCTACCAGTCTTAAGATAGCACGTACTTCTGTTTTGGTTTTAGGTGTAGGATACTCCTTTACAGCTAGGATTTTTTCTTCACCCGGGGTTCGTTGTCCTTGTCCCACAACATGACCTAGGTATCTCACTTGATCTTGTGCAAATTTACATTTTGATGGTTTTTAGTCGTAAATTTGCTTTCTGTATTTTCTCTTAAAGAAACAGAAGTTAAGTTTTTAAGGTGTTCTTCCCAGTTTTCTGAGTAAATGGCAATGTCATCCAGGTATATGGTACAGCGAAGCCTTCGCATCCAGCCAGGACTTTAGTCATAACTTTGCTAAAAAAATAGGGGGCATTTTTTAATACAAAGGGTAAACGTAGAGGCCTGAAACTTCCAAAACTAGTTACAAATGTTGCATGTCTTGGGGCTCTTTCTGTTAACGGAATTTGCCAGTAGCCTCTAGATAAATCTATAGGGTAATATATTTTGCTTTTAGCTACAGTTTCGATACGTTCTTCAATATTAGGCAAAGGATAGTATTCAGTTTTAGTAACAGCATTGAGTTTACGATAATCAATACAAGGCCGAG